ATGCGTGCGTACATCTGTTCAAGTTACCAAACCATATTATCATAGAGAGGTGCGACTGTCAAATCAAATCACATGGTAGTAAAGGCAGTAGAAGTATCAGCAGTTATCGGAGAGATTAGGATTCGAAGATATTATTCGAGAAGTGAAATGAACTTAAAAAGAGAAAGATAATGATGATGAAAAATTCAGAAGATTAGTATTTGAGAGGACACAAAGAATGGATGCACCTGCGCCATTGCAGACGGTTTTTAATCATTTCATTCAAGGTCTCTCTCTAACCATCGGTTAATAACATCTCCCGGACACCAACCAGGTAGTCTACACTTCCCAACATGACTCTATCCGGTTTTCAGTGATTTCATATATTTGTGCCAAGTTTTGGTCTGTCGACGCCTAGCTCTCTTCCAGCCTACTCCTACACCACACAACATAGCTCTACGATGCAGTCAGTGGTTAGGCAAACCTAACCACCTCCTTGAACTACACATATTGAGTTAAAAATAATGAAAAAGTATTTAGAGAAAAGGATTCAACCTTGTTACATTGTTGATGGTTAAAAGTCAGATACTTTAACCAATCCATCTGCAGCTGCTTCACCAAAGGTCAATCAAATAATAATTTACAAATTACCAAAAATGTTGCTTAATTAAGATGGATGAAATATAATGTAGATTATGAATAGTTTTGGTTAGTTTTAATGAATGAAACCAATTGAATGAATGATGTTTATTAGTACAATGAAAAAACTTTCAGAAAAAAATTCAGTCATATAAAAAATTGTATACAAACAAAAAAAATATGATAAATAATTTATCAGCTTATTTATTTATTACTGACCGCTCTCTCATAATTGAAAATTGAACATTGAAACAACTCATTAAAAATTCTAAGCAATCCATAACCACAGATATCACACATATAAAAAGGTGATGAGAATATTTTTTTTTCATGATTTCATTAATACATAGTGTACCTCTTTAATTTTCCGAGATTAAAATTTAAACAACAATGAATTGAGTACAATTTTAGAGATTTTTATTTTGTTACAAAGTTATGAGACACAGTTTTGAAATCTTTTTTTTCATTTATTTTAGTTTGATTAACTCTGGTAAGTAGTAAGTAGTATATCATAAGCAGTAAATAGAGTCAAATTGTATAACTTATTATTTTTCATGAACGACTGAAATCAGTTAAACAACTAATCTTTTCTAAAAACCATGAGGTACGAGACATTTGTTTCATCTTATTTTCAGATTCTCAAACCCGAAGTGTAGATGTGGAAAGTTATGATTGAGGAGTAGTCTACCAGAGTAAATCGATCATACCGCTTTGTAGTCATATTCACAACTTACATATCTTCTTTCTATAGGCTATCAAACAAACGTATGAATTATGCACTCGTGATTTGTCAGTCAGTCAGTCATTCACAAAGTAGAACTTCGTACATACGTACAACAGTCCAAGTTGCCATACCACATTACCACCGAGACGTAATTATCAATTCAAATACCATTGTAGTAGAAGTAGTAATAGTATTAGCAGGAATCACAAAGTTTATTGATCGAATATATCGTTTGAGTTGTACACTCCAGTGGAATGAATTTAAAGAAAAGATTTGAAAAACTGTTATGAGGTATTCAGAAGATTAGCATATGAAAGAACACACCTGCACCATTGCAAACTGTTTTGAGCTATGTCATCCAAGGTCTCCAACCATCGATCATAATCATCTCGCAGACCCCAACCAGGTAGTCTACACTTCCCAACATGACTCAACCTAGTTGTCAGTGACTTCATGGATTTGTGCCATGTTTTGGTTTGGCCGCCCCTAGCTTTCTCCCAACCTGTTCCTACACCGCAAAACAGCTCGAAGAAGCATTCGGTGATTGCCATTCGTAACACATGTCGCAACCACCTCAGTTGATGAAGCTTCAATACTTCATCTATTGATCTGCAATCCTTACCTAGGACCCGTTTTCTAACAACTGCATTGTTTAATCAACAGTCACAAGATAAACGTAATTTGTGTACAACATTATTCAGTTTACCAATCAAATTTTTTTGCATTGTAGAGGTTCGGCATATCGTACCAAGGGCAATATATTATAACTGAGTTTGATATTGTAGAACAACAAACAGATTCGATTGTAATCTTCTGAGATGTTTTAGTTAATTTCAGATTAGATCGAAACTTAATCGATTTCACAAACTCCTTATAATTAAGAAAATCTTTTAAATTTTTTGCGAACAACACAAGCTTGTATGTGTTCATACTCAGAATATTTTGTCTAGTGAACTCTACAGTATGCTGCAAAACCATTGTGTAGTAATTAACCATAATTATTCACCCTTCTAATGTGTTGATTTAGATCTACCTATCAAGGTGACATAATGTGATGACTAATTCATCTCACTAGATACCTCATATATACTATATATTGATGTCAAGTGCCAATGGTCAAGACTTCATGATTAACCATTGTTATATCCGATTAGGAACCAGCCAACAAATCAGGTTGGTTGGAGGAAACTGGTGGGCGGCCTATGCTCCATTGGGGGTAACAGGCGTAAGTAAGTAAGTAACAAATCATGTCTACAATCCAGTAGGAGTCGATAGTTCCATGGGACCCCAAACCGAAATCCTCATTGCATGGTGCTAGGATGAATTGTATGTGTATATCATTTGGCGACTAACACAACTAGTCCGCAAAGTATGATTTCTCCTTGTCAATTACCTGCAATCAGCTAATCACAAATTACACAGATTTAACATTAACCAACTAACTAACTAACTAACTAACGAACATAGATACGTTTCATCCACTGAAGATTCAATATTCAATGCAGTTTGATTACTAGGTTTTTCTTCAATCCAATTGTCAATCTGACTGACATTTTTATTATAATCCACTTTCCCATTAACTGTTTCACATGAATAATTAACTTCTGTATGATTGGTTGACTCTTCTGGTATTTTTGATAGAATATTTGAATTTGTTCTGATTGAATAATTTAAACATGAATTGATTGGTTGGTTACAATGTGTTTTTTCATCACAAGAAACAGAATCAGAAGAAGAAGTAGAAGACGGAGAAGGAGAAGGCGAAGACGGAGGAACGCGATCATCATGATCAATGGAAACTGCCGAAATTGGATTGAAAGGTGATATGTGCTCAGGGAATTCCGGTGAAGTTTTTTCATTACTTTCTTTTTTATTTTCTGCCTTCTCTAACAATGATACTACTTTATGATTTTTGACAAAATTTTCCTGCTCATCAACTTGATCACCATCATTGTCATTATCTAATATCACCACTGATGAAAGTGAAGTGGATTTCTGATTATTAATGCTATAAGAATTGTTTAATTCTTTCACTGCTTCTTTATTCGTTACATTTATCACTGAAACGCATGGATGATGATGATGGCGATGATGATGTTGGTGATCAGTATCGCCATCATCATCTTCATCATCATCATCATCAACATGACAATGATTATGATCATCATGTCGGTCAGGTAATTTCAATTCACTATGATGTTCAGCATCATGAGAATGTACTGGACTAGAAGATTGAATATAATTTGGCATGTCAACAATAATAGATTTATGATTTTTGGTATTCATAAGATTATCATTAACAATAGGATTAGTAGTAGTATTAGTAGTAGTAGTATAAAGTTTACCTGAACTTGATAATTCTTTATTGGAATCATTCATATGATAATTAATTATTCGATTAGTATGTCTGTTACTAGTAGTAGGATCAATAATCGGATCATGATCATTGATTGTTTCACTCTTGGTAGTGGTAGTATCATTAGACTGATGAGTATCATCCAATGAATCTGATCGGCCTAATGCTTCCGGACGGGAATGTTCACGATGACGACCGCCACCGCTATTACTACGACGATCAACTAAGATAAGATTACTTTTTTGTGATCCCATTCGATGGAATACAATACCATGATCAGATGACTCGTCAGTAGATGTATTGACTTTTGGTGAAACATTGATTATTTTATGAGTTGATTCATTCATTGATGAAACTGATGATGAGATGTTGAATGAAAGATGACACACAGGAAGTGATGAAAGGGGTCAAAGGGAAAAAAAAGAGTAATAAAAACAAGATTTTTTTTACAGAAATAAAATACATAAGAACAATATTATGAAATATGTAATCAATAAGAAAAAATACGTGTTATTTAATTTCTGCAGGTTAATACGCAATAGTCTGTCCAATAAATGCACCAATTGAGCCCATGAAAATTAAAATTATATATTAAAAACTAATGCGTAGATACATATTGTCAGTTTTAAAAATAAGCAGGTTCACTGTGACAAGACGACATACATGCTTTGTTTTCTATATACTAGAACATCTATGAAGGCCGCTTAGAAATCATGTTCTTTAGCTACCTCGTTGTGTCAAGTTTTATAAAATGTGACAATGTTGCCGGAGTGTTAGCGGGACATAGATTGAATTAAAGCATGATTGTGTTGCTGCACGCTGATTGGCTCTTTCGTATCCAATCAGTGAAAGTCGACACTGGGGGAACATTCCAGAATCCTTCCATATAAAAACTATAGATATACTAAGGACTTTTCATTTTTATCTTCTAACTTCCATCTAACCTTTTTATCGGAATATAATGTATTTCCTGTTCAACAATGTTCTGATTTGTGAGAATGTCTCAAGTGAATTGGTGTCCGAGAATACTAAGCACTAGGAATAGCTGCGTTTTAATAAGAGAATTATAACAGAAAGAGAAAGCAATTTTGTATTTACAAATCGAAAATACCTCTGAAGGGAAAAACCTAATGTGTAATTACTCGACTACAAATCAAAAATTCGACAACGATGTATTATTGATATCTTTCCACATGGCAGCCTTAACCACGTCAATCGAACCAAGCGCAGCTTAAGAGACTTTATCCCTGCTACTCACCAATGACACAAATCCCCAAAACATACGAAACGTCAGAGTCAAAGTCTACCAGAACTCATTGATTTTTGGTTAACCATGAATTTGCAATTCAACAACAAAATCTATGAACAAACGAAGGGAAAACCAATGAGATGACTAATATCAGGACTTATAGCAAAAGCCATGATGCAGAAACGAGAAGCATCGATTTTAGCAGTGATCAAGTCAAAATCTGGGTTCGTTATGTAGACCAAACATTCGTCATCATTACAAAAAACGAGCTGGAGAACATCTACAATCGGATCTATAAACGTCTTTGATCACATGAAATTCAAATTGAAAAGGAATCAAACAACAGTCTATCATTCCTGGATGTACTAATCACCAGAACTAACACAGGAAAACTAGAGACTCAGTCAAGGATTTCGCAAGTCAACCCACACAGACTCAATTCTCAGCTACAGTAGCAATAACCCAAGAACTCACATAACCAACTGCGTACAAACGTTGCCCAAGAGAGCGAAGACACACTGCAACACACTTGAAGCGCAAAAAACAAAGAAAAATACCTAATGACTATCTTCCAAAAGAATGGATATCTACGCTGCTGCATCAAAAAACGTCAACTGAAAACGCCAACAGAAGCGAAATCAAGTACAGGAACCAATAATGAACGGATCATCCTACCACATAAAAAACTAATATCGTGAATTGCAGCAAAATTATAGAAGTCATTTAGAAAAGATGTAGCACACAAACCAACAGAATCACTTCAATCACTCCTATGTAGACCAAAGGACAAAATGACAAAACAAGAAAAACCAAATATCATCTACAAAATAAATTGCTCAGACTGTGAAAAACATCACATCTGACAAAGCGGGCGGCCTCTTCAGCTTCGTCTGCGTGAACATCGATTACCAGTCAAACACCATGATTTAGTTGTGCAGCTTTAATTGCTCTTCAGAACAACATCATCAGCACAAACTTCAGATAGGAGTAACTTATTCGAATTTCTCCATCTTGATCAAGATCGACGTTAACAGAACAAGCTACTAGTCAAACGTGGAGAAATTCGAATACTTCACTGCTGCTACCTGAAGTTTGTGCTGATGATGTTTTTCAGAAGAACAATGAAGACTCCACAACCAAAACATCCAGCTCAAAGATCGAAACACCACCACAACCAGGGATATACATTCGATTAGAACAATGTTGAAATAACGGATAGAGGAAATTCGAAGAACACTATCGAATTTTTAGACGCTTGGCTCTCAGATCAATCAGCAATCAACAAACACATCAACATCGACCCAAGTTACCATATATATATATATATATATATATATATATATATATATATATATATTTTAATGGCGTTTTTATTGAACATACCATAAGTAAATTTATATATAGATAAATATAAGCAACATATATGAGAATGACTATGAATGAGTTACTAAAAAAAGAGTATGAAAAAATGTTACTAGTTAGTTGTTTGTATGTAATGAGATAAAAAAAAGTGAATCCTAGAAATACTAATCACAGATCATAATGGTCATATCGATTAGTGATCGCTCCACTTGTACGTACCAATGAAAATGATGTGTTAGATGAATCAGCAATAATAAATGAATTCCATTAAAACTACTGTCATAGTAGTCAGTAAATGATGATGATGATGATGAAATGAAAGCGAAAATGATTTAAATGGAAGTTTTAGTATATCTGTATAATGTGAATAAGAATGGACTAATGAATACAAGAATGATAAATGATAACTTTGCATGAAAGGGTGGTGAAGAGTGTTGTGTTACTTTTTGAAATCATGAATCGATCAATGTTAGACCATCATTAGAAAACTGGAAGAACTGGAGGGTCGTTTTGTCCCAATATGGGACTTATCAGCGAGATTCAAGCCCATGAGTTTTGGTCTTGCCCGAGAACCCCTAACCTCCGAACCACTGAGCTGGCATCTAACGTCGTTAATGTCTAACACTGATCAATCTAGGGATTTCGCGCGACCTCACATATTTGCTTTTGGTAAGCACTGCTTCACATTAGAACAGGGTTGAACTCCACTGATCAAGTCTTCTCACTCCATGATTTTAAAAAGTAACTGAACAATCTCCACAACCTTTTCATGCAAGTTATCATGTGTTCAGTAGAAACTTGCTCTGTGAGGAAGTTTCTCTGAGTCCTAGTGAGAAGTCATGGCCAGAGGTCAAGTGTTTGCACGCAAGTTGCAGGAGTCGCGGATCCGTACTGCTAAAGAGTCCCATACTAGGACAAAACGGCCGTCCAGTGCTTTCAGGTTTCTAATGGTGGTCTAACAATGATTGATCGATGATTTCAAATGTGTAAAAACACAAATTTCCAAAAATCTAACTGAAAATATTTCTTTGGTTCATCTTGCGTTGTTGCTTAAATTTTAATGTTATGTGTCACCAGTATACATCAGAGCTAGAGGTTGAATCCATAACTCACTGGTTGACTATGTTATTTCATGAATAAATAATATGAGTTATCTTAATTTTAATAAATGCCAAAATAGATGAAAATAAATGATATGAGTTTTTTTTTTTTAAATTCTTTTTACAGAAATTAATTAATTAGTTACTTTGAACTGTGCCATTTGTTATTGAATTCCAAGTCAATTTAGTGTAGACAACATAAAACCTTATGCAAATATCTATCATTCTCAGTTTTTATTAAACTAGACCCAGGTGAATGGAATTCCAAAAGATAATTAGTGCATTGAAGTCTCAATTAATAACGCCAATAAATCATAGACGTACATACAACAATAGTAAACTCATAGTTGAGTGCAGAAAACTACTAACTAATGAATTCAATTGTGCTGTTGTGACGAATTTGGTCGTCACTATGTCTACTGTTACTACAGCCTCAATTTCAACTGAATCACAGTTAAATTTCATCAAAATGACTCAGAGAAAATAACTAAATGACTTTCATACATTGATGTCATATTATACTTAGGCAAAGTCCGTTTGTGTGACGGCAGCGGTAATAAGAAGCCATATACGGATTCAGTTGGATGAGTTTAGTTCAGGCAATTGTTCAGGAAGACAAACATGATGATAGAAATCTTACAAACAAAGTGAAGAAGGTGAGCAAACCAATGCCACGAAATGAGACATAACTTAAGCACATATAATCAGATAAAAATAAGCTAGATATACGACAAGCGAAGTTAGATAACAGAGAATAGCTGTCAAAGTTGGAAGACATGTACATAATAACTCCAGTAGAATGTATTAGTTGATTTATCTGAATGCTTGGTGCAACAAGTCTTGTGAGCTCGACATAAAATTATAAAAATAACTTCTACGCTATCTAGCCTTATTTTCCTAGAATCATTATCAAAGCTTTAGCGTTTAAATAAGTTAATCATTCATGAAAATGCAACACTAGCAAAGATTTCCATTCGGGAAACATTTATGCGCGTGTATGATCAGTAATTACTTAAAATATATTGATTGATAAAATATCAAAAGAGAGACAGAAAGAGTGAGTGAGTGAGAGACATAGAGAGAGAATTAAGGAGATACTGATGAATACCAAAAATACTGACAGAATATTTTAACTTACTGACATCATAATCTTATAAAGTTGCATAGTTTTAGAATGAAATAAATCCTGTAGTAGTCAATGACATATATATTATTCATTTCAAAATGTTTCTCTCTAATGCCGATATTCACTGTCACTATTGATCATGTTTGAGATTCAGTGTAAAAGATGACGTCGGTGTTGCTATTCTCAAGTGTCTTTCATAAAGTAATAACTTTTTCCAGTAAATATGTATATATAAATATATATATCAACTAATGAGAAAATAACAGATCTCATTTGTAGAATATGCATAAATAATTTTGCATAAAAATGTCTAATCTATGTAGACATATATATATAATATGTATTGTATACTACTATGTTTCAAACTATCTACAAGTTATGGAACAACTGACAAGAAGAAAATACATTTGCATAATCTATGTTGATCGTGAACAAAACACCTAACTAAACTATCTACCTACATAACTAAAAAACGAACACGCACACACACACACACACATGTACAACCATAAGTAAGAAGTATAAATGCACTGTGTGTGCAGAGAAAAGAGAATGTACACGTGGTCAGTGGTGATTATTATGAATGAGCTGCTGTATTTATTGTTGATCGAGGTTTTTTTTATACGTGTAAAAAAGAATTATGCAAAGTGAAATCAACTAGATACACTATTGAAGTTAGATATTTACTACGATAGGTTATTTTATTCAGCTCTGTATGTGGGTATGTGAACAGTTAATGTGTTGTTGTCTTTCTCAGATATCCCCTATCAGACTATTTGTCACTTAAATTTTGCGTAATGTTACCAATCATGTGCGTCAGCTGGATAATATTTTGAATTCTAAAATCATCCAAAAAGCTGCCTACTTACAGGAATTTTTGTTAATTTAAATTTATAACTTATCCTCGCAAATGATTTCTTAATCAAGAAATCCTCATGTCTATTTGAAGTTTCCGCTAATGATGATGTTATGATCTGAAGAAAGGTGTACCAAAGAAGTACATTAACCTTATACAAGCACTCTACTCGAACACCACTGGTCGGGTGAGAGCATATGGCGAACTGTCATCTGAATTCTCTACATCAAGTGGTGTCCGTCAGGGCTGTCCACTCTCTCCATTCTTGTTCAACTTTGTCGTAGACATCCTCTTAGAGTTAACATTAAGCTCGTCAGATTTTTCAGGGGTTGACCTTCTACCAGGAAAGTCGCTTACTGATCTAGAATATGCCGATGACATAGTTCTATTCGGTGAAGACGCTGACAAAATGCAGAGTCTTCTGACTACCATAAGCAACAATGCAAGCATGTTCGGGATGCGGTTTTCCCCCTCGAAATGCAAAATGTTGCTTCAAGACTGGGTTGCTTCGGCACCTGAACTAGTGATAGGGAGTGAAGTAGTCGAGCGTGTAGATCACTTCACTTATCTGGGGAGTCTCATCAGTGCTGACGGTCTGGTGACTGACGAAATCTCAGCTCGGATACAGAAAGCTCGATTGGCTTTTGCCAACCTGCGTCACTTATGGCGTAGGCGTGATATCCGTTCGCTAACCAAAGGACGGGTGTACTGCGCAGCAGTTCGTTCCGTTCTCTTATATGGCTGTGAAACATGGCCGTTAAGAGTAGAAGATATTCGTAGGTTACTGGTTTTCGATCATAGGTGTCTTCGAAGCATTGCTCGTATGTCGTGGGACAGCCGAGTAAGCAATGCTGTCGTTAGGAAACGAGTACTAGGTAAGGATGGCAGATCAATAGATGAAGTGGTGAAACTTCATCAGTTGAGGTGGTTGGGACATGTGTTACGTATGCCTAACCACCGACTGCCTCGACGAGCTATGTTTTGTGGTGTAGGAGTAGGTTGGAAGAAAGCTAGGGGCGGCCAGACCAAAACATGGCAGAAATCCATGAAGTCACTGACAAGTGGACTGAGTCATGTTGGTAGATGTAGACTACCTGGTTGGGGTCCGCGAGACGAAAGTCATCAATGGTTAGAGACCTTGAACGACATGGCTCAAAATCGTTTGCAATGGCGCAGGTGCATCCACTCTTTGAGCTCTCTCAAATCCTAATCTTCTGGATTAGCCAGCACCTCTACCTTTGTCTTTCTAAGCTTATCTCACTGAATTATATTTTTTGAATAATATCTTAAACCCTAGTCTTCTTTATTATAACATCAATACCTCTACCATCTTTATCACTATGGGATTTGATTTGACATTTGCGTCTCTGTGCTAATAATGTGGTATGGCAACATGAACTGATGTACATACGTACGAAGTTCTACGTTGCAACTGACTGACTGAATCTTCTCCACTATCGCTAATACTTCTACTTTCTTTACTACTATGAGATTTGAACTAACAATTGCATCACTGTGTCAATGTGATATAAGCAGTATGAACGTATTGACACACGTACGAAGTTCTACGTTGTAATCTACTGATTGACTGACTGACTACCTAACATATTATTGGTTTGTTGTTCTATTAACATGTTCACTTATAGACGAACAACCACCTCAAATCTGTTGAAAAACGTTTTCGAATGGATAACGTTCAATGTAATCATCAAAAGTGGGAAGCATTTCCACCTATCTGACGAGTTCCAGATAAGATGAAACACTCAGGCCATAAGTAAGTGTCCGATACTCTTCAGCTACATAGTATTTATAAGGGATATTGCAAGTAGTGAGCATCAAAATTTAATTAACTCGCTAACTATGTCCCTTCATGTTAATGCAACCAATCACCAGTAACTAAAAAAACCCAAACATGGGCACATAAAAATCTATCCTATCTGGAGTTGATTGAAGCATTTCAAATTTTATAAAAGCGATTACAATTTACACATTAATTGTAATCGATCCTGGAATAGTTTTAATAGCCTTTGAGAAACTGAATTATATACCATAAGTTATAGTATCTATTTGAAGATGGTATTTTTCACAGATAGAAAACAGTTGGCGTGTCACTGTAAACCAATGAACACTAGACAGTATTACTTGTTGTATCATAAGAAGGCAAAAACTAATGGCTTCCTGAGTTTGACTCCGAGAACGGTTGTGGGTGCCCATTTTTTAATAGAATCCGTTGATTCTAAACGGTAATCCAGCTGAAGTGACTAAATTCACCTAAATTTTTACAAAACCCCTGCAAAAAAACTAATAAAATCACAATTTCAAAAAGCTAAAAGAATAGTTTTATGATAGAATCGATATTCTCAGTCAGTCAGTCAGTCAGTTACAGCGTTGAACTTCATATACACGCACATTAGTTCAAGTTGATGTACCACATTATTACAGAGATGGAATTGTCAATTTAAATCCCATAGTGGTAGAGGTAGCAAAAGTATAAACAGTAATCGAAAAGATTAGAGTTCGAAGATATGATTCAAGAAGTAGAATCCAGTGAGGTAAATTTGAGGAGAGAAAGGTAAAAATCATGAGGAATTCAAATTAGAATTTCATAGAAGACAAAGAATAAATGCACGTGCGCTATTGCTAACACTTTTGAGCCATATCATTCAAAGACACTAATCCTCAGTTACTACTGTTTCGCAGACCCCGATGACGAGGCAGTCCAAAACTCTCTGTTTTACAATGATGTCGTTTAGTAATAGAAAAAACTTACAAGCTATTATGAAAACAAATAAATAACTTCAAAGATCTCGGTGAGTCTACATAAGATGCCTTGAAAACAGTTAATCAGATGTAATATTGAACTAGGTACGTAAGTACATCAATTCATGTTATCATGCTCCAATAGCATAGAGAGACGAAATTGTCTCAACCGTAGCTGCTACCTTGATGAGGTGGATGGACTTTTAAAGGTAGATGACTCAACTGAGCCATATTGGCTGGAATACATGTTTCTTTGGGTCCTACCATGTCAGTCAGCTCGATTGAAGAACGATAAAACCAAACCTAGCCACGTAAGGTCTCAAAGCAAAGTCGTGCTGCTGATTACATAGGGGTATGACAGCAATAAGATGCTCTCCTGAGACAACCAGCATCTGCAGCGATGCAGCGCTTTCACAGTAAAAGGGAGAGATTAGAGAAGTGTCACACCCTAAAATACCCCATGGATTGCCATTTCTAGCTGTAAGGTCTTTTGAAGAGTGGAGCTAACACACATTACGAACTTCACATAAAAGCCCGTGCGCGACCGGCCTCAAGCAGTTATCCATCGGTCACTAAGACAAATTTCACCACGAGTTTACTTCAGATAAAGAGCTATTGAAGACTATGAAGTGTTGAACATTTATTTTATTCTGCTTAGAGATGTGTATCATGAATTTTAAGGTTGATTAAAAACAAGACCCTTACTTCTCATGTCAATCACGATATATTTTGACCACTATTTCAACATCTGTTAGTTCAAACTTTTAGATTCAATGAACTCATTAAAGAGTTTCCAACTAATCTGAAACATCCTCCTTATGTTGGATTCAATTATTGTTCTTATTCAAAATACACTTACCAGATAAGTTACTTGCAGATGATTGGATCACACTCCCATTCGATTGAAGGTAGGTAAACTCCTGGTTGCAACGAATACGCCCAAATTCTGCACTATCAATGTAAATTGAATAACGTCCGGGCTGTAATGAAGGCATATGAATACGTAACTGCGATAGATCAGGTTGACTTGACTCAAAAAGAAACCAGTCATCTTGAGGAACTGGATGATCATCGACAAAAACAGTGGATTGTTTCATCATTTCAGGCGTAAGGAAACGGCAGTAAATTGTCATCTCAGTGCCGCCTAGCAAAAATAGAAAACACATTAAAGCAATGTTTTTGTTGATAAACTTGATTTATTTGAAAATTAATTGCTTAGTGAAAAAATACAGTCAGGCGGTAGGTGGTCAAGAAGAGTAGCGAAAATGCCTTAAAATGATACATTCATCTATGCTGTCACAAATTTCCACAGGAGAGGTAGTACGACCGAAAAAAAATTATTCATAAACTCAAGATCAAACCAAATAAACATTTACTTCATGTTTATTGCAACATCTTCATTTAAGTATGTTAAAGGTATACCTAAATCAGTTAAAATTTAACGATTACGTAAGTAGTAGGATACACATCTCAAAACCTTGAAGCTGCCCTATCAAAGTTTTTTTAAGAACGCTAACATCCTATTTCTAAGTTATAAAGAGAAGCATTCCAAATATCTAATCATACATAATAATCCAAAGGTCAGAGACAAATTCAAAATGAATTTTCCGGGTCAATACAAGGATCGCTTCGAAGATAACATTACCACCATCTAACTGCACTGAAGTGATGTGGCAGGATGGACAGATTTTACGCATTGAATGTTTGAAATCAATGACAATGGTATCCAACCAGTCTATTATTCTCTTAGTATGAGAGTCAACTAATTCACCAGATGTATCAAGCCTATTCATTACCGTTTTTTTACTTTTTTGGTTTTAAAAACTTTATCATGTTGGAAGTTGATTGTTTGATGGAGTTAAAATCAGAACATTTTATTTCACTGGTATTAATACTATTTCTAATACTATGGTGGATACTACTCGCAATGTGGTCTCTAAATAGTATACAGCAGATTGTCACCCAGAATGTATGGCGCAATAAAAGCATTTTGAAGACCAAACGACATATGTAGGAAGACAGTCAATAATAAGCTTATTTTACAAATCAAAGTTTGAAGGTAAAAGAGTACAAATTTTGTTAGCAAATTGTCTGGAAGTCCTTGATTTTTAATGTACAATAGTGAGTTGTTAAAATTATAAGAAAACATTAACTATGACATTTACAGAATACAATGAATTCCTTCAGTCAGTCAGTCAGTCAGATGCATGTTGTCTTGCCACATCAGCACAGAGATATAATTGCCAATTCAAATCCAATAGTAGAAGAGGAAGTAAAGGTATTAGAAGTAATCGGAGAGGTTAGGATTAGAAGATATTATTCAAGAAGTATGATTCAGTGAGAAAAGTTTAGAAAGTCAAAACTAGAGCGATTGAAGAATCCAGAAGATTAGGATTTGAGAGAACACAAAGAATAAATGCACCTGCGCCATTGCGAACGATTTTGAGCCATGTCATTCAGCGTCTCTAACCATCGATTATTATCACCTCCCGGACCCCAACCAGGTAGTCGACAACGACCGACATGGCTAAGTCCACTTGTCAATGACTTCATGGATTTCTGCCATGTTTTGGTTTGGCCACCCCTAGCTTTCTTCCAACCTATTCCTACACTACAAAACATAGCTCGACGAGGCAGTCGGTGGTTAGGCATACGCAGAACATGTCGCAACCACCTCAACTGATGAAGTTTCATTACTTCATCTATTGATCTGCCATTCTTACCTAGCACCCGTTTCCTTGCATTTAATTGGTTCATTATATTTCAAGACTTATCAGATTGTAATGTAGAATTTACATTATTGAAAATTATTATAAAAACTCCTTATAAACAGTATAATCACATGTGTGATTATTAGATATTTAACAGAAAATTGACACCACAAAAGTGTTTAAAATAATTGACAAGCAATTGATAGAACTCTTTGGCAAAAGCAATAGTCATCAAGCGATTTCAACCTAACCTTTGCACAAGAAAATAAAAGTGTAGTAAACCTCTCGTTACGATGGTTAGGCTAGTGTGTTATATTATCTTAAGCTTTGTTAAAATCACGTTATCTTCATGTTGTAATTGGAAAAAAAAATTCTACTGATATTCACTCACAACGATAACTTGAGTTTTATCTGCCTGAATTATTACTCATTTGTTAAAAATTTGTTCTTGTTCTTTTTAGGCTTGTGGAGATTGCTTAGTTTCATTGGAATGATGAACAGAAAATCTTGTTCTCGTATTAGACTCATCAACAGTGTGCATCCATGACCTCCGCACCCCGGAATCGAACTCAGAACCTTCGGTCTCATACGTGAACGCCTAACTTCTAGACTATTGAGCGAATGTCTAACGTCAGTCAACCCACGATGATGAGCAACCATCAACCATTGTCTCTGGTGGGTAACTTTACCAGACATGCGACACGGTTGAGTTTCATCGGTTACGACTTCTCACCAGAACTCTGAGAATTCTCTAAGCGAAACTAACCACATGAAAATTGTCATTCGAGGGTTGAGAAGACTGCTGAGTTTCCAGGCATTGCCTCTTTATCACTATTCATAATTTCAACAGTTTATTTGTACGACTTCACGTTCAATATATAAATACTAAGCAATCTTGATGATTAGATTTTGCATACTCTTTCCTGTTATCATTTCTTATCTCGTTAGTAACTTAAACTTCATTAATTACACTATGTAAAAAGTTCTTTTAATAATCTTACTGACGTAAATGCAGGTTGCTTGTATCTGATAAGAAGTCTCGAATTATGACAAATCCATGTTATTCTATATATCTACTTCTTTTTGCTTCATTTAAACAAACAAAGGAAAAAGTGTTTGGTATGTAAATAAAGTTAATAACTAGTTTTTTTTCACTAAAGGGTTGTGGAGATTGTTGAGTTTCATTGAAATCATGAACCGATCAATGTTCGACCTCTATCAGCAACCTGGAAGCAATGTGTGGTGGCCGATATCAGCGTGTTCCTAAGCTTTTGTGATTAGCTCGTCTAGACAATCAAACTAATCGGCGTCTGACGGAAGGTGAACTCGTAGTGATGAATACGTTTATTTGGGACACACCACAAAGCGAAGCGGAGAAGCAGTGAATAAAACGAAAGAAGCGACGTGAATTGGAGAAGGCTGTTGAGCCAACTACCTGGATTACAATGCGAACGAATGGGAGAAGGAAGCGAACGAATTGGCGAAGCGCGTTGGAGAACGCTAATGAGCCAAGTCCAAGAGATAAAGCATGACTAAGAATATATAGTCAGACAAATATAGGACAGACATGCGACAAGCGAAATAGGCACACAAGAATAAAAGCGACGAATGGTTGACAAAGTCAAATGAAAAGTGGGACACGTCATGTGAGCTCATACAAACCAAACAATTATAAGGATGAATGGTATATATAAATTGTTGCAATACAAATGGCTTGGTTAAATAAATTAATCGAAAGGGCTTAACCAAGTTAGATGTAAGCGAACTGGAATATATGTGGAGGCACTACAAATGAACGGCTGTTTCTTCCTAGTACGGTGCTCATCAGCAGTGTGTATCCACGACTCCTGCTGGCGGGAATCAGACTAAGGACCTACGGTCTCAACATCTAAACCACTGAGTCGGCATCCAATGGTGTTAATGTCTAATCTCCATCAATCAACGGTCTTGCACCACCTCATTCACTGTCTTCGGAAAGCACTGCTTGACACCCAATAGGGCTGAACTCCAATGATTCCAGGTTCCTCATAGTGGTCTAAGCCTGACCGAATCATTATTTCAAATAAAGTTTTAACAAAATTTTTATAACTGCTTGTTGGGGAAGTTAGATCCCCAAAACTCGCTTGATAAATGCTTTATTTTGGATTTCACGTTTGCGAGCATGGGCTAGTCAGTTGACCTTGAGATTTCATTTCCCACCAGGAAAATCCGTGGCTATGATTGGCTGCAGTGTTTTAGTGTGCTATTTTGGTATCTGTCCCAAGGACGTTTCTATGATGCATAAATAAACGAGAGTTGTATGCTTGATTGTATTGTGATTGCTGGGTAGTTTGTAGAATATACTTTCTACGCTTACAAAGTCTTCAATCTTCAGCTTGGGATTCAAGGTGGCCTATCTGGACGCTGGTAATAGTCTTGTTCACGTTTATCGACTAAGGTGAACTCATAATAGCTTCAAGCGTACCTAGTGACGAACCCTACACTGCTAAAAGTGATAGCTCCGTAATATTTAGGATAATTTTGTAACATTCTAATAATAATGATACTAATAATAAATGGATCAAAGAAGTTTTTGAATGAAACAGACAGATTTGTGATTTCAAATCACTAAATTGTGATGATTGTTTTATTAAAGAGTTTAAGAAAAAAAAAAGGTGACATGAACTAAATGCATAAAATTTAAAATGATTTTGTCTTATATGAAATATTGCATTTCAATAATCTAGGTATTTATTGATCATTATTTGGTTGAAATCAAAGTGTCACATACTACAGTAGTAGTAGAATAACCTTAAAACTTTGAAGGTCGTTTTCATCATAGATTTAAGCCAACCAAAGAATTATTGAAAAATATGAAACAATGTTTTATTCTAGTCTAGTCTAAAATTACAAAGGTTTGAATTGTAGAAAATTAGGTTTTGCAACGCTTGTTCAATTTGATTTTAAATCACTAAATCGGAATGCAGAAATAGTCAACATGTTGAGCTTAAATGAATTAGCGATTTTAACTTCGACTAGGTTAGAAGAAAGTTAGGGACGGCCAGACCAAAACATGACAAAAATCTATGAAGTCACCGATAACTGAACGGAGCCATGTTGATAATTGTAGACTACTAGGTCGAGGTCCGTGAGATGATAGTAACCGATGGTTAGAGACCTTGAATGACATGGCACAAAATCGTTTGCAATGGGACAGGTGCATCCATTTTTTGTCTTCTCTCATGGCTTCATGAACTCAGGACCTTTTCTTATCTCTTTTTAAATTAGTTTCACTAGATTATACTTGTTGAAGAATTTCTTCGAACCCTAATCTTCTCTATTACTGCTAATACTTCTACTGCCGCTATTACTATGAGATTTGAATTGACAATTGTGTCTCTATGTACTAATGTGATATGGTAACTTGAACTGATGTACGTACACAAGAAGTTCTACGTTGTGGCTGACTGAGTGACTGACTGACTCACTGATAGCATTTTTTAATTAGAACTGTACTTCACATGTGAAAAATTTCCATTACAATTGAAGTTAGTTCCTTGCTTTTGTTTCTGATAACATTATTCTCCTCTTTTAATTGTATTGATGTACTGGACTGACAAATATATTTTTTTTTACTACACACAATGGCTAACTCTTACAGGTTAGTAGTAAGAGCCTTATACGAAAGTATATGAAAATGAATCTTGTTACCGACTGTTAATATAAATATGCAGTTAATATTTTTTGAGATTACTTCAAATCTATGAGTATTTTTGTCATGAATTGGGAGGTCAACGATATAATAGTATAATTTTGTAACAAAATCCTATCAACGTAATCTTTATAGTCATTAGGTTATTTGAATACATACGCTACTAAAATACTAATCGAAAAAGAAACTAGATGATTATTAAAATATATTAGCTAACTTATTTACTGAATATATCCTTATCTAATTATTTATCAAAACTATGTTACGTATCAGCACATTATCAACTATACCTCATTAAACTTTAAATCAAGAACTGAACATTGAACTGTAATTTTTGTTGTAATTACGAGTAATACTTGATAAATGCAAATGTAATCATTGATAATGATATGATTAAGAATTTAAAAATCAAACTTCTTTACTGAATTACATTCCATAATTAATTGAAAATTTGCTATATTACAACTCGGCCGTAGCTGCTACCTTGACGTGGTGATCGAGCTTGCCTATTGTGATGATCCGACCGAGCTACATTGGCTAGAACATATGCTGCTGTTGGTTCTAACTGCCATGCAGGTTGATTAGAGAACGGTGAGACTAAAAGTACCAACTCATGGTCTGAGGGCGAAGTCGTACTGCTGAACGACTGTAGAGAGGTGTGACAGCAGTAGGGTGTTTCCCTCGGACAACCAGCATGTGCACCGATGCAGCCTTCTTACAAGGAAGGGACGAGATGGAAAAAGTCGACCATAAAATGTCACATCTCACCATACCTTACAGATTTCCATCTTCGGTGGTAAGGTCATTTAAGAGCGGAGCCTAACACTATACAATCTTCCCCATAAAAAGGCCATGCGTGACCGACCTCAAGCAGTTACCCGCCGGCCTCTGTGGTCACGCTCCTAGATCGCTCAGACCATTGACTTCCTTTTCAGGTTCCTCAAGAATCACCCTTCCAAGGTCTCGGCAGCTGGGAAGTGACATTCTCCCTCATACTTGGTAACAACACATGAGACCGAATTTGTCACAATCAAATCCCCAAAAACCATGAATAAGTAACAACATCTCTTAACGTAATTCTTATCAGTAGTTAGTCACTTCATGAACTAGTATCACATCTTTCTTTGGTAGCGGCAAGTTCTCCAGTCAAAATGATTCTATGTTAGTTAACATTGTAAATCGAGGAAGACATCGACATTTACGATGACGTCAAATCATATTGAAGTTCATTTTCATATAAACAAATCCAGTCGGTTACACAACACAAATCTCAAAAGCATTGCATACAAACAACATCGTACAGTTTAAATGAAATTGTAAATCAGCCTCATAAGTTAACGAACTAAACGTACGAAAATGTCAAATTTAAAGTAACCGGGTATATATGAAGCATTTAAACAAAACAAAAACAAATAAAATTATTGTTCAATTCATTCTTACCGGAAGATGGACCACATTTTGGTGCAATTCTCATTAATTCCGGTTTAGTTTTCAACTGTTCATTAGAATCTTTCATATTCAAATCAACACTTGACACCATTGAACCATTTCTTTTACTTGAATGCATTGAATTCGGACGTTTCAATTGATTAATGGCAAATGCCGACGAAGATGATAATGAATTGGCTGGAAAAAAAATAATTTTTTTTATTATTATTTTAATTAGATTGAATAAATAAATTCATTAATTTGAATTTAAATTCTTACCTGTTAATTCACTATAAGCTCCAAGTACACTGCCATCTTTTTCTTCAATTACTCCATCGTCATCATTTAGATTTTGTTGACTATAATCTTTTTTTTAAAAAATAAATAAATAATAATGGCAATCAAAATTTTAAAAAAATGAATACATCATATCAAGTATGAATAATACCTTATATTATATTATTGTAAATATTTTTCTTTTAATGATATGTGATAATAAAAAGAGATGAATGTGAATATCCTATCATTTCCACGATAGATGATTACTTCAAAAAAACAATAACAAAACTGGGAACCGAGATTTTATTATTGTCATTGGTCTGGATACTGAGTTAGTGAGCCAATCAGAAACTGTCCTCCAGGACGAATAAATATCATTGGCCAAGAAATGGTTTCATTTTCTAAGGAGCTGGAATCCGTATATATATATATATATATATATATATATATATATATATATGTATTAGTAGTATTCGTACATACTATTTTGTAGCCAAATAGACTTTCGCGTTTGCTTTCGCCTTCCCGCTTGAGTAGCCACTTTTGGAGGGATTAGTGCGTACTGTGATTGGATCTCGGACACCGTATATAATAACAGATACCCGATCATTAGGCTATACAGACCAGATCGCATTATACCAGTTACGTGATTCACGACTACAGTGTAGACTACTAGGCAAGAAAATTACAAGCAGGCTATGCTTAGTGAGTCCACGGTAAAAGTCAATGATAAGAAAGGAAAACACACATTCAAAGGTCATTTATCTGAGTGTCTGTTTTTCTATGTTCAATGGTCAATTATATTTGCTTTCACGGACCACAGATCAGTTTTTGACTACTGAAATGAGTGGATAGAATACCGACAGAATAATGGTTACGCATGTGATCGATTAATTAGCGTAAGCCCCAGGAATGATTTAAAATCAAAAATAAGTTCACTAAATTAATCTGGAGTATCTGTTGCGAATTTAGGTGCATATTGTGTAACAATGATTGGAGGTTCTGAACTTCAAGTCGACAAAGTTCCAGTGCGTTTGAAACTCCATCTCCAACCCAACTATATCAATACTCAGAAACACTGCAATAATGTATGAACTAGGATTCCTATCTGCATAATAATTTCTTAATATACATAGTAACTGACTTTTAATGATCAATTTTTTCGCTTTGTAGATTTCATGAATTTGAGTAGATTTTCCATTGCCGAAGTTAGTGACCTCAATATCTACTGATAGATGATAGACGATGATACAATGTGAGCAAGTGATGACTGCTTAAGACGCTGAACTTTAGATGTAAGCGCCCGAATACATTGAAACCAAGGAAAACCCGCTAGATAGAACAGGTTCCTTAAATAGTAAAAGGGTAAGATTCTATATATCGATATGAAACAAACACCATGAATATCATGGGGAATAGGACAGGATCAATCTATAAGTTACTCGCTCAGCAATCATTTAAGACCTGACTGTTTGGGCTAATTATTGGAGCCGGTATCAATAAAATATTCAAAACATGGGACACGATAGTAGATGAATAGGAGTGGAGACCAACTTATACACGTCACTGACTTATGTTAACAAAGACATATATATTCTATACTCATATTCAAACCAATTAGAAGGCCCACACTATATTTCCCTATGTTACCTAGCATATTTTTAATATGGTGGCCAAGAGTTAGGTCTAGTTGTCAGTTTTTTATTTCAATCAAAGATGAGTGACCTAGATCAACTCTTACAACTAATTGTTTTTCAAATAACTTTTAATCATGCTTACTCATTTTGTCATTGTTCACTAGTTTTTTATCTGTTGATAAGTTTATTTAAAGACTTACGTCAATAAACATATCTGACGAAAAATTAAAATAGACAAAGTCTACTAGAACTCACCGATCTATGCTTAATAACCTATTTTCAATTCAACAATAGAGTCTATGAACAAACAAAAGGAACACCGATGGGATCACCAATATTAGGACTCATCGAGGAAGCTGTAATGCAGGGACTAGAAGCGTCAGTTTTACCAGTGATCAAGCCGAAAATGTGGGCTCCCTATGTAGACGATACATTCATCATTATCAAAAATAACGAACTCAAGAACATCTATGATCGGATCTACAACATCTTCGGTGACATAAAATTCATCATAGAAAAGGAATCACACAGCAGTCTATCACTCCTGGATGTACTAATCACCAGAACTAACACAGGAAAACTAGAGACTCAGTCAAGGATTTCGGAAATCAACCAACACAGACCTAATTCTCAGCTACAGTGGCAATAACCCAAGAACTCACAAAATCAGCTGCGTACAGTCAGTCAGTCAGTTGCAACGTAGAACTTCGTACGTAAGTACATCAGTTCATGTCGCCATACCACATCAGCACAGAGATATAATTGTCAATTCAAATCCAATAGTAGAAGAGGAAGTAAAGGTATTAGAAGTAATCGGAGAGGTTAGGATTAGAAGATATTATTCAAGAAGTATGATTCAGTGAGAAAAGTTTAGAAAGTCAAAACTAGAGCGATTGAAGAATCCAGAAGATTAGGATTTGAGAGAACACAAAGAATAAATGCACCGGCGCCATTGCGAACGATTTTGAGCCATGTCATTCAAGGTCTCTAACCATCGATTATTATCATCTCGCGGACCCCAACCAGGTAGTCGACAATTACCGACATGACTCAGTCCACTCGTCAATGACTTCATGGATTTCTGCCATGTTTTGGTTTGGCCACCCCTAGCTTTCTTCCAACCTATTCCTACACTACAAAACATAGCTCGACGAGGCAGTCGGAGGCATACGCAGAACATGTCCGAACCACCTCAACTGATGAAGTTTCATTACTTCATCGATTGATTTGTCATTCTTACCTAGTACCCGTTTCCTAATAACAGCGTTGCTCACTCGGGTGTCCCACGATATACGAGCAATGCTTGGAATACACCTATGATCGAAAACCAATAACCGACGAGTATCTTCTACTCTCATTGGCCATGTTTCACAGCCATAAAGTAAGATGGAGCGAACCACTGCGCAGTACACTCGTCCTTTAGTCAGCAAACGGATCTCGCCTACGCCATAAGTGACGCAGGTTGGCAAAAGCCAATCGAGCCTTCTGTATCCGTGCTGAGATTTCGTCAGTCACCAGGCCATCAGCACTGATGAGACTCCCAAGATAAGTGAAGCGGTCTACACGCTCGACTACTTCACTCCCTATCACTAGTTCAGGTGCCGATGAAACCCAATCTTGAAGCAAAATTAAAAGTCAATCACATCCTCTTATTTCATATCATCTATTGGTTAGCAGTCTCAGAAGTCCAGCACTTTGTTAATCATTGCCATAACCCAAACGCATTCATCCTAATAAAACGTAAAACGTTTGAAATACAATATGCAGACCAAAATGGTGCATAGCTAACTGACAGTTAACTCAGTAAAACGATCAGACTGTTTTAGTACCTTCATGGATGGATGATAAATTAGTTGAAAACTAAAATGAAGTCGGTAAAATACGTTGATAAAACATACTGAAACAAATAGACTAGGATGTCAGTACATAAACAGTTATAATAATCTAAAAATTCTCAACAAACATTTTCGATGCACAATTTAGAATAGTGTGAACTTTTAACTTAAGTGGGATTATTGAAGCCGTGATCAGCGGAGTTCAATTGTATTTGGTGTGAAGCAGTTACTCACCGAACACCATGGCTAATGGTTACGCAATATTGTGGATTGATTGAAATTAGACATTAACACTGCTGGATGCCAACTCAGTGGTCTAAAGTTTGAGCGTTCACGCGTGAGATCTCGACTTCGATCCCAGGATGCAGGGGTCGTGGATTCGCCCTTCTGACGAGTCCCATTCTAGGACCAAACGACCGTCGAATGCTTCCAGGGTTTTATTGGAGGCCTTTCAAAAATTAGTTCAGAACTTCAACCATGTGGAGATTATATTTTTCAAGGATGCAACATTATCTCAGCGACATTAAAACTTACTTACACTTGGAGCCCCTTTGGGGCTATTGCCGATCATAAGCTCGGATAAAGCAGGACGGTTGGGCGTTGGGCTTGCGCCCCCATCCCGCTAAAAAAACGCTAAAAGGAAAAATCAATTCAGCAACACGGAAATGAATTATTAAGTACTTTTTATAGTCAAAGCAGTTCTAATTACATAAACCATATACACAATCGGTTTTAACCGATTTCCTGGCTTCATGTATTTACTTCAGAAAATGTTTACAGAGATAATGTTAGAAATAAAATAAGCAGACTACATACCAAATGGATTGTAACCATTATTCATTGGCTTTGTTATATTCAACATTGAATGCACAGGTGAATGTGATTGTGGAATAGCACCAGGTGTATGTACAGCATGATGTGAAGCTATTTTCTTATACCATCGTTTCTTTTTTTTATATTCATCATTAGTTGATGATAAACTAAGAACACTACCACCATAATTCAATGGATTCGGAGTGGAATGTTTATCTTTATGAAGATGCAAACTGAAAAAATAAATAACAAATATGAATACAAAAATCCATCAGATCTGATAAATAACCACGGTTTCTAGACAATAAAGTAGATCAATTTACAGTGACTGTTCACATGAAATAAAAATTAGACGATGTTGCGGGCGGGGGTAATCATCTATGAAACGTAGCTGATCAGTTTTAGTCACCATAAAGTTGAGCACAATTAAGTGTTAGCCTACGACGATATCTAGCCATGTTTTGCGGTGTAATAGTAGGTTGGAGGAAAGCTAGGGGCGGCCAAACCAAAACAAGGCACAAATCCATGAAGCCATCGACAACTGGATTGAGTCATGTTGGTAAATGTAGACTACCTGGTTGTGGTCTGAGAGATGATGATGAGCGATTACGTTACGTGTAACTAAATGTTACGGTTGATTTCATTTTTCTCCAAAGTGAACTCTCATAAATGCACTGATAAATATACGATTAAAAATACAGATAGATGTAAATTTCACTAACTATAAAAAGATACTAGTACACTAGATTAAAATTCCAATCAGTCATACTGTGTTTAGGCATAAAATTTACAAACAATTGCTTTAACACATTTCAACAAGTTCATAAGCTGGAAAATTGAATGGTTTAAATGCAAACATTCCAGTTACTTTACAAATTCCCAACCTTAGTGCTAAATTTAAGAAGTTGTATTTTACAATTTACTAAACGTTTGAAACTTACACATATCTGGAATGACAACCAATAGTTTACACATAGTCAAAATTAGCCAGTATAAACATGTGATAAATAGTCAATAAAAATTAATCTTCGGAAGCTCAGACTAAGTTTGCAAGTGTTATTATCAACATTTAACCTAACAACCATGAATAAATTGGGAATTGAGTTTATCTTTATTGACAAAAATTATGATATACTTCTAAGGTTTCATTAAGTAAAGAACGGGGCTATTAACGTTTGGTAACTTATTGTAAGCAATATCATCTCAAAAACAAAATAGTGCCTGCAGATTAGGATCTATAGATTGTGATGCATTGTACAGTAAAGAGTCTTCAGGTGAAATCATGATAGATTTAAAAGAATCATCTAGGTCACATGAAAAGATCTTCAAATGATCCTATAAAACTAGAAAATTCACAATTAACTTCAACAATAGCAATAGATGCTATTTTTCAACACCATCAAATCGATTTTAAAAGTATCAGAATTCATCCAAAACTGTTTCTCCAATTATTGAAAGTGCAGAGTAGATGAAGCTTTTCATATAATACTAAACTATGTAATGCTTAATCGAAAGGAAGGCCTAATGATCCTCTTAACAGGAAACATATTCACAAATTTAATCTATTCTTCACATCTCATACCACTAATAAACTTAAACATTCTTAACTCCATTTTTTTACTTCACAAACAAAACATATTTCATATTCTCCATGATATACACAATTAGGTAGAACTCGCACATTCTCATCTTGACCAAAATGTTATGACACTAATGTAATCAGATCTAGTTGTTTCCTTTGTAGCGCTACAGAATGTGTTGATTTATTCCCATTATTTAGTTATTCTCTGAGGAAGCGGCTTAAACTGAGTTACGAAATAGGGGTTCGATTTCTTCTCATGTGGTTTCACAAATACTTTATTAAATCTTATACTAAAGCAGACACTGTTGTGGTAATCAGACTAATAAATGATACGGTAATATAAAGCCAGTAAGCATCGTGATGTAATAAATTAGTGACGAAAGGAAACTGATGAAACTGAGCTGTGCCGATTTTAACTCAATCAAGTCAAAGTACTTACAGATTACTGATGAAAATAGTGAATTTACAGATGGTGTAAGAACTTCAAAAGTAATCTGTGGATACACTTATCGTTGGTAACACTTCAAAAAAGGCACTATGAGACCCAGATAATCATTGGATTTATATGACGATCCAAAACTAAACAACAAACATTTTGCAACACAAAAATGTTTCGACTACAAATCTAGTTTTCCTAATGTAATTGTTAAAAAGTGGTCGGTCCGAAAGTGAAATGTATTCTGCAGTATAAATCTTTCTCACGAATCGACAAAGATCGCCGCTTTAAATAATTTTCGAACTTTATGCATTCATCTATCTTAAAGTAAAATAACGTTCAGAACATTTTCTCTGCTCCATATGACAGATAATTATGTTTCCCCAAGAAAACAATACCAACACTTTTTCAAAGTGTACGTTCTCAGTATATTTAAGAGAGACTGAACAAATGTGGTAGCGACCACTTTTATGCCAAACTTAACAGTATTAAATGCAAGTGAGAATTCATTTGACTGTTTGAGGTTCGAAAAACTATGGTAAATAAACCAAAATGTTCATATGAAATTAAATACCATTTGTAATCAAACAAAAGCTGACCTCGACAAGCTTAAGATAGATCCTTTCGCGCTCCTGCTTTTGGATTCTTCGCTACGGTACTCTTCTACCCAAATCCAGAAGTAAAGTCGCCCAAAGCCAATTTCTGTCTTTTTTGTTTGTTCCATATCCATGATACATAATCGAGATTTATCTGTGACACTAACAGAAGGGTTTGTCGGCTTCGGAGAGATTGTTACTCCGGGTACAACCACTTGACCCACATGATTATCCTCAGAATCGGAAACTAAGAGGACAACAGGATCACCTCGAGTCGCAATTTTACTATACAGAGTATTATGAATTTAGAAGCTTACAATGTAGCTTCAAAGTTCCAAACAGGATTACCGTCCGGTGCATAGACACATTCTGAACTAATTTTTTTCTTGCCACCTAGAATAACGCATTTCCATTTCTGGCTAACTTTATCTGAAGCAACAATTATTTTGGGGTATATAGTAAACCTACGTTGTTTGTGGTCAGAACGTGGTGCCACACGTAAATTCTCAGCCTTGTATACTTATAAGTTTTGTAAAAAAAATTTGGCAAACTAACCTCTAACTGTGACTTCTTTAGGATGCCGAACGTTCGGAGCCAACATGCTATCAGCAATGTATTTTGAACATACTTCGAATTAATTGCCACGACGAAGGCAAAAAGAGGACGTTCTAAACAAAGATACGCATATATGAAGTAAGTTGGAATAAAAGCAAACTTTCTTTCTCTTGCCAAAATTAATGTAAGAAACTATGTTATTAGTTTATTGTATACAATATTCACACGATACGCCTATGATTTTATAAGGACTGAGATTTACGATTAATGTTGCGTTCATTGTGCTTGAAAAGTCAGCAGGGTTTTCAGGTAATAGCAGTTATCAAGTTATCGAACCGGAGATCTTCTGACTGCAGGTCATTAAATAATAAAGATGGAATTTTAGTGCTAAGGGACGAATGCTTCAGAGGCTAATTAAAACCGAATCACTTGATAGTTGGAGTAATGAAAGATAACTGAAATGTTAGGGTATAAAACGAATCTGAGATGGTAACAAATATTACAATACATTCATCGGATACAGTTGTTTCAAGCAGAAGATGATAAACTACATGTGAGCACATTTTAGTTGAGTCTCTTGAGGCTATTCTCTGGGAGGTCTGTTTTCATCATGGCCAGGAGAGCATTCAAAGTGTTAAAATTCTCATTTCGCAAGTGGGAGTGTTTGCTCTTTCATGTACAAATTTTCGAGGATAATTATAAAATGCTTGACTTGAGGTGACGGCGTAGTAATTATGGTTTCTAATATTTTTAACTCCATGCTACTTTAACTCTCATTAATTAACTTTACAGCTTCGGTATATGTTTATTCGTAACTTTAGTAACGTTATAATTCTCAACTTTTTCTGTCAAGCTGTTTGAACTTTTCTTTTCGTATCCACTTCACTCAGTCCAATCCGTAATAAACTGTGTAAGTTTTACCTACAAGATACATTTGAACTAATCGATGTTCTTGACGACATATATATTTAAGGAAAGACTGCATTATTTTTGTGTAAACCCCGTTTCGCCCTAATGAAAACTGTAAACTTTCTTTCGGACTAAGTATTAGGTAATTTCCCTCCTTTTCCCATTCAGTCAACTCTACTCAGATAATTAGTCTTATTATGAACTGAGAAAGTTCGTTTCACTTTTGATGATGAACATTTCCAAAAAGTTAATGGCGTTGTTATGGGTAGTCCCTTGGGACCTCTCTTAGCTGATGTTTAAATGGCATATGCTGAAAATTTATGGAATGAGCACATCAAAAGCTCTTCCCGTATTTTAATTATATGCGATAAAGAACTCAAAATATCCCAGTTACTGGATAACTTCAGTAGTCTTCAGAACGACATTATACTAACCGATGTAACAGAAAACAATAACCGATTGCCCTTTTTAGACATACTGTTGAGTCGAAGGGAGAATGGAACCAAGAGGCGTTCTGTTAACAGAAAACCAACCTGGACTGGACAGTATCTAAATTTAAGCAGTTTTTGTCCACTGCAACATAAGCGAGGTTTGGTAAAATGCTTTTTCAATAGAGCTCAAGGGATTTGCACCACGGATACTTTTGAAGACGATGCAAAGTTCTTAAATGAAGCATTGATTTCAAATGGCTATCCGCTAAAGTTCGTCAACAGGTGTAGAAATCAGTTGAGACAAAAGGCTGTTTTTCATTCTCTTGAGAACCTTCGGGGCTACTGCCGGTCCCAAGCCCGGGTTAAGGAGGAGGGTTGGACATGGGGTTGGCGACCCCATTCCGTCAAAAACTAACTTGCCAAAAAAACGCTAACCAGAAAAAATAATTCAAACCATTTTAACTCTGCCCTGGGAGTTGGAGGAAGAATTATGACGTCGCGTGATGAAAGCCGAGTTCCCTCGGAAGTCACGGGGCTGATGCCTCTTCTGACAACCAGAGCAACCATTTTTTTGGGTACATGGAACGTTCGTACATTGTGGGAGACTGGAAGACTATTTCAAGTTGCGGCAGAAATGAGAAGATACAACCTTGAGGTGCTTGGAATCAGTGAAACACATTGGACACAAGTAGGACAACTGAGACTAGCTTCAGGGGAACTGCTGTTATACTCTGGTCATGAAGAGGAAAATGCTTCACATACACAAGGAGTTGCATTGATGCTGTCCAAACATGCACAAAAGGCACTGATAGGATGGGAATCTCATGGGCCGAGGATCATTAAAGCATCCTTCAAAACAAAGAAAGAGGACATTACAATGAACGTCATCCAATGGTATGCACCTACCAACGACTACAATGACGACGACAAAGATCAATTCTACGAAAGGCTGCAGTCAATAGTCGATAAATGTTCACCAAAGGATTTGACGATTCTTATGGGAGACCTGAATGCCAAGGTTGGAATGGACAACACTGGATATGAAGACATCATGGGACGACATGGACTGGGAGAAAGGAACGAAAACGGTGAGAGATTTGCAAACCTATGTGCCTTCAACAAACTGGTCATCGGTGGCACAATATTCCCGCACAAACGCATTCACAAAGCCACATGGATTTCACCGGATCACACTACTCAAAACCAGATTGATCATATCTGTATCAACAAAACGTTCAGAAGGACTATGGAGGATGTGAGAACCAGGAGAGGAGCTGATGTAGCCTCAGATCACCATTTGCTAATCGCCAAAATGAAACTGAAACTAAAGAAGCACTGGACAACGGGACAGACAACATCACACAAGTTTAATACGGCCTTTCTTCGGGATACTGTAAAGCTCAACAAATTCAAGATAGCCCTCACCAATAGGTTCCAGGCCTTACGGGATCTACACAATGGAGAGGACACAACATTGGAGAACAATTGGAAAGGGATTAAGGAGGCAATCACTTCAACATGTCAGGAGGTCCTTGGTCGCAAGAAGCAGCATCATAAGGAATGGATCTCTGTTGATACTCTCGCAAAAATTGAAGAAAGGAGGAACAAGAAAGCAGCAATCAACGTCAGCCGAACAAGAGCTTAGAAAGTTAAGGCACAAGCTGCATACACAGAAGCAAACAGGGAAGTGAAGAAGAGCATCAGAGCTGACAAACGAAAATATGTGGAAGATCTAGCAACGACGGCGGAAAAGGCTGCAAGAGACGGAAACTTGAGACAATTGTATGAAACTACAAAGAAGCTCGCCGGGAACTATCGTAAACCAGAACGACCAGTGAAAAACAAGGAAGGCAAAGTAATCAGCAACACTGAAGAACAGCGAAATAGGTGGGTAGAGCACTTTAAGGAACTCCTAAATCGACCAGCTCCTCTGAAGACACCCAACATCGAAGCAGCATCCACGGACCTCCCAATTAATATTGGCGCACCTACGATTGAGGAGATCAGTATAGCCATCAGACAAATCAAGAGCGGCAAAGCAGCAGGACCAGACAACATTCCAGCAGAGGCAATGAAAGCAGATGTGGAAGCAACTGCGAAAATATTTCACATTCTCTTCAAGAAGATTTGGGATGAGGAACAAGTACCATCAGATTGGAAAGAAGGATACCTCATCAAAATACCAAAGAAAGGCGATCTCAGCAAGTGTGAAAACTACAGAGGCATCACTCTTCTTTCAATACCAGGCAAAGTCTTCAACAGAGTATTGTTAAACAGAATGAAGGACTTCGTAGACGCCCAACTTCGAGATCAACAGGCTGGATTTCGGAAGGATCGATCGTGTACTGACCAAATTGCTACATTACGGATCATTGTGGAACAATCAATTGAATGGAACTCACCACTCTACATCAACTGGACAGTTAGGACGCTGCTGGACGATCTGGACTTCGCAGATGATCTGGCTCTTCTATCGCACACTCAACAACAAATGCAAGAGAAGACGACCAGTGTAGCAGCAGCCTCTGCAGCAGTATGTCTCAACATACATAAAGGAAAGAGCAAAATTCTCCGATGCAACACAACATGCACCAATCAAATCACTCTTGATGGAGATGCCTTGGAGGACGTTAACACCTTTACATATCTGGGCAGCATCGTCGACAATCAAGGTGGATCGGATGCAGATGTGAGGGCACGGATTGGCAAAGCAAGGGCTGCATTTCTACAGTTGAAAAATATCTGGAACTCCAAACAGATATCAATCAACACCAAAATAAGGATTTTCAATACAAATGTCAAGACAGTTCTAATGTATGAAGCGGAAACATGGAGAACTACCAAAGCCATCATTCAGAAGATACAAGTGTTTATTAACAGCTGTCTACGTAAAATACTTCGTATTCGTTGGCCAGACACCATCAGCAACAACGAACTGTGGGAGAGAACAAGTCAGATTCCAGTGGAGGAGAAAATCAGGAAGAAGCGTTGGAAGTGGATAGGACACACTCTACGAAAAGCACCTAACTGCGTCACGAGACAAGCCCTCACATGGGACCCTCAAGGCAAAAGGAAAAGAGGAAGGCCAAAGAATACATTACGCCGTGAAATAGAGAAAGATATGAGAGGAATGAACAAACATTGGACAGAACTGGAGAGGGAAGCCCAGGACAGAGTTGGTTGGAGAAAACTGGTGGGCGGCCTATGCTCCATTTGGGGTAACAGGCGAAAGTAAGTAAGTAAAGTAAGAGAAGAAAAAGGTTTATATCACTTTACCATTTAGAGGGGGAACAAATGGCCTGATCTTAATACAGAGACTAGAGGCAACCATTAAAAAGACTAAGCTCATGATTCCACATAGACCTAACCGTTGCTCGAATGATTACATCACATCCCACTGCATTTATCGATTTACATGTTTGTATGGACGCACATACATAGGGGGGAGTAATCGAACTTTTCATTAAAGGGTTAAAGAACGTGTACCTAAATGGCTTCAAAATCAGTTATCTTAAGATGAGCTGATAAAGGTGGGAAACAGAGAACCATGTTCATCGATCGCAAAACACATAATTGAAACATGGCATACGACTGACATCAAGACAGCCTTGAAAACATCGTATAGGAACGTTGAGGGACGAATTTTGTGGTTTTTGGAAGCCTTGACTATTCGTAAATTAGGACCCTACTCATGTACACAGAAACAATCTGTTATAAACTTGAATTTACATTGGTGATCGCTGAG